ATGTGCCCAGCGCTGCCGGATCTGTACCTGTGTCGCAACCTTCCGGGGGCGATGCCCGGGGATGAGCCACGGGCTTGGCACTTGCCCCGGCCTCGGATGTGGCCGCTGCTGGTGATGCAGTTAGTGCATTGAAAACTGCAGTCTGTCCTAAATCTGCCCGTTTTTTCCCTGTGAGCAGGTGCTGTAGCTGCCTCTTGCTGTGCTGTTGAGATGTGCAGCCCTCCCGGTGCTGGTTTGGATGCAGAACCCCCTCCCCAATCTCAGGCAAAGCCCAAGGGGGCTTTGAAGAGAAGGTGCTTTTGCTGTCCTTGCCAAAACTGGCATTAAAAGTGGTGCCTGTGGGCCTCAGAGGTCACCCCTGTCCTGTTGGGCACATCCCCTGTGCAGCTCCCTGACCCCCCTGTCCTGCTGTGTTGTCAGACAGGCAGGTCTTGTCTCCCTGGCATTTTGGGTGCCTTTTCCTCTCTGGCTGCAGAGCCTCCCTGAATGCTTTGCTCTGGCTCTGGGTTTTTCCCATCCTCTCCCCTTTCCCCTCCTCACAGACACTTGGGGAAGGTGCAGTGTCACCTCTTGTCACCCTGCCCTGCAGTGACCCCTGCGCAAGCCTGTGGAGTAGATGGAGCCTTGTGGGATTTGGCTTGAAAATTGAGGGTGGGAATGTTGAGGTGCTGGCAGTGTTGTGGTGGGGGACACTCGAGGGGGGTGGCAGATTTGTGTGTCACCCTGAGGGGTGGGTGCTCGTGTCTCAATGTCCTGAGGCTGGGAGGGTCCCCTGCCACCACAGAGGTGGCATGAGGATGTGCCTCTGTGCCCACTGCCACGTTTGACCTTGGCTGGGTTTTGTCTGGGGCATTTCACACCTCTGGGTGGGTTTGGAGATGCAGCACCATGGGCAGGGCAGGCAGGAGGGTGTCCCAGAGAAGAGGGAGCAGGAGCAGCCAGTGGGTGAAACGCAGGAGTTTATTTTGGGCCCAGTTGAGAACAGTGGAACTGGGTGTTTAGTGCAGGAGGAAAAACCAAAACATGGATAAGATAAGATGTTCTGAGGCTGTGCTGAGCCTGGAGGAGGATGAGGATGGAGCAGCTGGCCCAGTCCATGGGGGTTACCCCAGCTGAGGATCTGCATTGTCTTCACCCCCAGGCAGGGGACAGGCATGCTGGGGGAGAGAGGAGATCAGCTCTGGGGGCTCCCTCACCCCAGAACCAGCAGGAATGGCTGGGGTGGGAGGCTCGAGGGGGAGCAGGGAAGCTGTTCTGGGGGACTAAACTCACATTCCCCCCAGAGCCCCATCCCAGCTGGGAACAGAGCCTGGCCTGGGGCTCATCCACCCCAGGGTGGGGTTTGTACCTCTGTGGAAGTGTAGAACACTTCCTCCTCAGTGAAGCCCAGGCACTGCAGCTGGGCTTTGAACTCCTCCATGTGCTCCTTGCTCACATTGGGTGTCCGTGCTGCCAGGGAAATGGAAAAGGGAGGGAAGGAAATGGAGTTTTAGGGTTGCTTTGCTCCTGGGTGATCCCTGTAGTGCAGATGGGGAGCTCACTGCCCGTCCCCATCTTTCCCCTCTCTGCAGCAGGGGAAAAGGGGCTTTTTGCCCTGCTTCTGAGGACTGGAGATGTCCATGCCCCTTGATTTGTCCCTGGGGAAGCACCTGCTCACCTGAGAGAGTCAGATTTGGGGAGTCAATGTTGATGTGGTTCAGGATCAGCAGGTCTTTGTCACTTTGGATCAGTCTGGCCATGGAAACCACCCCGTTATCACCAACTGGAAGGTATGAGACAGTGAGATTTCCCCACTGGTGAGGATCCACCCATGCTCAGGCTCATCACCTTTCATCCTTGTGACTCATCCCAGTGGGGACCACCCTGCTCCCACAGTGCTGCCATAGGTGTGCTGTGTGGTGGAAGAAAATTTTTAATCCCACCTCCAGACACACTTTTAGGTGTAAAAGGCTCACATACTGGGGGGCAGAAGCAGGAGGGTTCAAGGGCTGGTGGCTGTGTCCCCCTCCCCATCCCAGTGGAGATTTACCGTGCACCAGGGTGGAGTTGTGCTGAAAGACCTGGGTCCTGCTGGAGTTCCTCACCACACAGGTCTCATTCCTGTGGGGCAGAGAGGTCAGAGGGAGCAAACACCCCCAAGCTTGCCCCAACCAAACCTGAGGGATTTGGAACGTGAGCAGGACTGCAGAGCTTAAATAAATGTGGCATAGCTGCTCTCCAGCCCTGAATTTGCAGGGTGTCTCAGCCCAGAGGATGACACCAGAGGGTGGAAATGCCCCTGGGGGTGGGGGAGCCAGATCAGGCCATGAACCCCTGTCCTTACATTCTTATGATTTCGCTGATGTTGAGCTCGTTCTCGTGGCTGCCGGGAGAGAAGGAAAAAGCCTCAAATGTCACTGCTCTCAGCTCTGCCAGGTGAGGGGGATACCTGGAGGCACCAGCGATGAAGAACCACTGTCCCAGGAGCTGCAGAGGGGAGCAGAGTGGGGGAGGTTGGAGGGGCTGTGCCAGGCTCACCCCCAGTCACCCCGTGAGTAAAGCAAAGGCTGTGTCTGTGTCCCACAGCCAGGAGCAGAGTGAGTGACTGCCCTGGGCAGCATCCAGGCTGCTGAGGGTCGCTGGCTTTTGTCCTCTTTCTGCTAAGGCACTGCTCCAGCTCCCAGGCTGGCCAGTTCTTTCTGCAATAGTGTTTCTCCTGCTCCTGGCCAGGCTGTCATTGCTTTCCTCCCATTAAAAGCTCCCGAGGGATTAAATTCTGTTTATGCAGTGAAGGGTTTGCGGATGGAGACTCGTGACCTGAGCCACCACCACTTGAAGGACTTAAAATAGAGTGGTGAGGCATTGGGATGGTGCTGCCCAGCCTGGTTGGCAAGGAGATGGAAGCAGGAACCCCCAAAAGTGCCTGGTCATGAGATTATGGGTGCAGAGCCGCAAGGCTTCACCCCTTCCCTGTGCAGCACTCAGGATCTTTTTTAGGAAAACAAGCATGGACAGGCAGTGAGGTAAACACTGAGCTGCTAATGGTTCTCCCATGACCTCCTCCTGTATCCACAAGGGCTGGCAGGAAAGGAGAGGCTGGGTGCTTGGCTGAGGGCAGGGCTTACCTGGGGGATGGTGGTGCTGTCGAAGGTGACCGCGACGAGCGGGGCACAGCTTGGGGGCTCGGTGGCCAGGGCCAGGGGCAGCCCCAGGAGGAGGGTGAGGGTGGCCAACATCTCCTGGCCGTCCAGGAGGATGCTCCAGCTCTGCCAGGCTGTTGCTCAGCTCTGTCCCTTATATAGGGCTGCCAGCAATGCTGGACATCCCCGGCACCAATGTCCCTGTTCCGCTGCTGGGCTGTTTGCTCAGGCGTGAGGCAACAGCAGGTGGGGGAAATTCAGCTTGCAAAATCTTGGATTTCTCCAGCATGAAAGGAGGAAACACCCCCCTTCCCCCCAACCTAATTCTTCCCCAGTGCAGGCCTTTGTTATCAGAGACTGCAATTAATTTTGTGGGTGCCTGGCAAAGTGCTCGGCAGCTTCAGGTGTGTTTGGAGACCCTGGGGACACTGAGGGCAGCAGGACATGACATTCCTCCCCAGGACAAAGAAACCCTCACGGGGATGGCTGGCTGGCAGCTCTGAGAGCTTTGCTCCACTCTCACCTGGTTTCTTTCCCCTTGGGGCTTGCACAAGGGCTCTCCTGTGCTCTTGGGAGGGCAGATGCCAGGCGGGTTCCATGGGCTGGGGGATCCTGGCTGTGAGGCCGGGAACTCATCACTGCACTGGGCTCAGACCTTTTTAAAAAAAACCCTATAAATTACAGCTTCTTTAAATGCAGCACCTCCCTGTTTTAACAGCACCGTTCAGCTCCTCTAATGTTGGCTTCGTAATTAAGTGTGGTGTTAATTAATTAATTAATGAATTAAAGACGTTTGCTTTCAGCCTGCGCTCAGCAGCCGCTGCAGGAGCGGTGGCTGAGGGGACACGGCCGGGCTGTGGTGCGGAGCGGGCCCGGCTCGGCCCTGCCCAAAACCGGCACCGCCCGGGCCAGCTCCTCTGCTTTTCGTCCCAAAAAACAGGATTTTTCCCCTTTTGCTTCCTTCTTTCCATTTGCCGCCCTCTTTTTTTGCCCTCCCTCCCCTGCTTTGCCTCCTGCTGTTGGCCTCGTCTTTCCCCTTTTCTCTCCCTTAGTTTTCCCCCGTCCTCCTTTCCTCCCTCCCCAATTTCACCCTACTTTTTTTTCTTTTTTCTTTTTTTTTCTTTTTTTTTCCTTTTTTTCCTTTTTTTCCTTTTTTTCCTTTTTTTCCTTTTTTTCCTTTTTTTCCTTTTTTTCCTTTTTTTCCTTTTTTTCCTTTTTTTCCTTTTTTTCCTTTTTTTCCTTTTTTTCCTTTTTTTCCTTTTTTTCCTTTTTTTCCTTTTTTTCCTTTTTTTCCTTTTTTTCCTTTTTTTCCTTTTTTTCCTTTTTTTCCTTTTTTTCCTTTTTTTCCTTTTTTTCCTTTTTTTCCTTTTTTTCCTTTTTTTCCTTTTTTTCCTTTTTTTCCTTTTTTTCCTTTTTTTCCTTTTTTTCCTTTTTTTCCTTTTTTTCCTTTTTTTCCTTTTTTTCCTTTTTTTCCTTTTTTTCCTTTTTTTCCTTTTTTTCCTTTTTTTCCTTTTTTTTCCTTTTTTTTCCTCTTTTGTCTTTTTTTTCTCTTTTGTCTTTTCTCTCCCTTTTCCCTTCCCTTCTCCCTTCTCTTCTTCCCCCCACCTTGCTCCCCAGCACCGTGGCAGGATGGGCACAGGGATGAGGGAGAGCACTTGGCAGCCAAGGGGATCCCAATCTTGTGCATTTGGCATCATAGGAAGGTTTGGGGTGTGGGTTTGTCTCAGATCACTTGGGGGAACCCCTGGGAAATGGGGTGTTTCTGCACCTCTTGCCCACATAGTTTCTTATGAAGGAAAAAAAACAAAACAAACCATTCCAGTCCTGTTCCATTGCCTCTGTTTTAAATATTTATTTAAAGTTAAAAAAAAAAAAAAAGGAAAAAGAAAAGGAGAGAAAAAAAATGTTTTAAGGAGAACAAATGATAACTGCAGCCTTGAGAAAACACAAAACCAATGGCATGGGATGAGAAATGGAGAGATCTGGAGTATGGGGGGTTGCAGGGAGGCAGTGAGTGATGGGTGGTGGTGATTTTGGCCTGGGGATGAGGTATTTCTGGCAGGGGCTGTGTGGAGGGCGAGGTATTAGGGACAGATCCTGTTAACCTTTTCTGATGGTGATTGGGAACCAACCAGCAGGCAGTAGTGACAAGAAAAAAAAATACACAAAGAGAGACTCACAGATAATTTTTTTTCCCCTCAAAAAAATAAAATCCATAGTCCATATGAGACATGAAAACTCCAAACAGGCACTGAAGAGTTTCTGATACAGTACAGCTCTGATTACATCAATATTATTCCTTATATAGAATTAAAGATTACCATAATTATCCTCTTTAAAAAAAATCCTCCAAATTTACATACAGAGACTAAATTTCTACAAAACTTAACAGAACAAAACCCTTGCAAGCTCGGCTGGGTTCTGAAACAAGGTACCATCATGTCAGTCTCAACAGAGGGGCCGAGGGAAGAGTTGCAGAGCTGGGTTTAAACGTGAGCTTAGTCCAGGGAGTCGTGTGGGCAGCTCAGTACAGCCCAACTCAACCAACTCCATAAGAGCTCTCTGAGGCTCAACACTTCTAGATGAGCTGTGTCCCTCACTCCCCTCCCAAAGCAGTGAAGTGCTGATGAACAAAAAAAACCAAAAAAAGCAAATTTGATTGTAAATTATCCTGTAAGTGATGTTGGCTGTGCTGTGAGTTGTGTTGTTGACACCCATGGCCACTTCTAAGGATCCCTTTTAAGGTGGCTGTTTCTCTGATTTAACTGTAGAACATCATCTCCTCTCTTCCCAGAGAGATGATTCTATGGGGCTGGTTTTTTGGGTCTGTGGCAAGACATTGTAGCACCTTCACAACCTTAAATAAAGTCATATATATAAAATAACACACTTTTTTAAGAGCACCAGAGATTTCACAGTGAGAGGTAGAAACAAATCAGATGAGCCCATTCCCTCTCTCTATTTTAGCACCAATCTCTTCCCCTCTCCTCTTTCCATTCCCCCTTCTTTGCTTCGTGACTCTCCCCTACTCCAACACCACACCTTGAGAGGGAGTGTTGGTTAAACTCGTGGAAGGAGGAACTTGGCTTTTTTTTTTCTTTTTTTTTTCCTTTTTCTTTTTGCTTTAAATAATATAATATATATATTTTGTTTCTTCTAATATTGCACATCAAAATGCTTCCTGTGCACAGAGCAGCCAGATTCAACTTGCAGCTCCGCCTGGGAGACCTGATGCAGCACGTGGCTGTCCAGAAGGCAACAAGCTCTGAGAGGGAAGCTCTATTTTTTTAATCACTTTTTTTTTCCCAATGGAAAGAACATTTGGTAACTCAGGAACCAGACAAAAATGGGTGGGTGGGTGGATGGGGGTGGGGGAAAGAACAAAAAAACCCACGCGCTGCAAGTCGCTTGAGGTTTCTCTCAATGTTTTCTTTGGTCGTGGAAAAAGCTTTGTGTGTGGAACCACAACACCCAGTCCCCTGATCCCTTTTCACTGCTCACATCCTGACTGATGCCCGCTTCCCCCACCTTGTCCTTGTTCCTCCTCCTTTCAACAACTGGCTGAGTTCAGTAGATCGTGGGTTCCTGGAGACCTCGAGCCAAAGGCTGGAGCAAGAGCTGGCCCAGAGGACACAGCCCGCTGTCCCTGCTGCAGGGAGGGGGAGAGCCCCTGTAGGGACAGGCCAGCGCGGGGTTGGAGCCTCAGGGGGTCCCGTAGCTTGGTCAGAGGAAGCAGACAGGGCCAACCTCGAGGTGATATTGCTGTCCTGGCTCGGAGGGGGGCAGGTTGTGGATGCTGACAATTGGCAGCTGCTGAGGGTCCTGTGTCCGGAAGGAAAAGTGGGTCCGGTGCCAGCGCCCGTCCTTGATCTGCGTGGGAGGGGACAGAGAGAAAGCTGGTGAGCCAGGGGTGTTCTGTGAGGTGTAAGCCTGAAAATCCCTCTGTGAGACCAGGGGCTGTCCCTGGGGCTGAGCATGGCTGGGGTGGGTTTAGAGAGCATTTTGGGGAACACTTTATCAGGCTGGTGAAAACTGAGCTTGAGTGGTACCACCAAGAGAAGCCCCTGGTGCTGTGAGCCTGGATGCAGCCCTGTGTCTCCTGACTCTGCGTGGCACCAGACAAGAGCCAGGGTCACTATCCAAGGGGAGCCATTCCCCCTTCTGTCATTTAACTGCTGCTATCCATAACAACTTCAGAAATTCACCTTTTGCTTTCTATTTGAAGGCCATCTGCTTCACAGGAGCTGTATAGCATCCTGAACTGGAAAACTAGTGGTAAACCTGACCCTTCTCCCTTGTAGGATGAACAGCAGAGGTGTTCTGGAGCCCCAGAGTGGCTCTGGCATTTCTCTCTTTCACAGCAACATACCTTGCAGTCATCAGCTGCCACTTCTGGCCTGAGCTGCCCGCTGGCCTCAAACACCTGCCCGTTCCAGGCCCTGAAGCGCACGGCGTTCTGCGAGGGGCTCTCGGAGGAGCCCTCCCGCCACACGGAGGTGTTCAGGCAGTGGATGGTGATGTGCTGCACCACCTCCGAGCTCAGCAGCCGCAGGAAGTTCATCTGGACTCGCCCGATGTCAAAATCCAGCTGTAAGGTGACAGAGAGGTCACAGGGCGCCCTGCAGAGGGGCTGAGGGGAGCAGGGTTAGTGCAGGGTGGGGGAGCAAAGGGGGTCCCTGTCCTCTGCCTCATTCTGCACCCGTGTCCAGAGCTGGGTCTGATGTCAATACGGGCATGAGGACCAGGTGCCAAGTCATTTTGTAAAGTTTTTGTGGGGGCACAGCAGGTCCTTTGCTTTGCAGAACAAACTGGAAGGTCCTTAAGTAGGAGGAAAAGAATGTAAACTTCAAACTCAATACACTTGCAAAGCAGGTTCCAGTCCATCTGCAAACGAGCCCAGGTATTGCTATTTGTATTTTTAGTACAGGTACTTCCTCAACAAAAATCCCATAGCAATAACTTCACTGGAAACTTGTGTATTTAGGCTGACCTCACTTCTCCAGGTGGCAGAAAACAAAATGCAAGAGTGACCCAAACACAAGTCAAGTCAATAAAGGATTTGGGAGCAGCATGTTTGTGAAATTACTGGTCACATTAAGGCTATGGGTTCATTAAACATCACTGGAACACAGGACTTTGTCTTGAGCCTTGGGTGTATTTTTTAAACTCCTGAGAGCAGTTCTGAGTGTTAGAGTTGCAGTAATGCTCCCCCAACCTGTGTGCTGTGTCCTTGTGGTCACTGCCCAGTGTCCTGGGACAACACAAGCTGTGTAAATTTACAAGCTGTGTAAATATTTGGCAGTGGCAGTGTGGGGAATGCTGCTGTGGGGCTGGGCTGTGCCTACCTTGGAGACAGTGACAGGGCTGAGACACGTCTGGCCACCGTTGGTGAAGTTACAGATGACCTGTATGGTGTCTGAAGAGCAGCCAAGGTTGGGGTCAATCCAGTAGGTACCTGAGGAAATGCAGGATTTGGGGGTTAACAAGGACACTCCTCCTTTTCTGAGAATGACAGAAGGACAGTTTTGGTGTCTTGGTGACTGGTCCCAGGGAAGGAGACCACGTGAAACAGCCCTGTGGAGGAGGATGCAGGTTTGGGGCTCCCTACCATCGGTCATCTTCTGTTCACAGTTCATGAGGTCCCGGCAGATGCGTGCAGGGTTCTCCTTGGTTCCCAGGGGTCTTTTGATGCTCTGAATGAGGTTGCTGAGGTAGTGTAGAGTCTTAAAGATCTCCCCTCCATGGTCCAGCATGAGAAGGTCTGGGTGTTGGTAACCCTGGAGAGAAAAAAGACAAGTCAGGGGTGCCGTGGGGGCACCGAGGGCTGTGACCACAAGGGTTTCTAGTTTCATTTTGAGAAAAATCAGTGGTCAAAGACAGGCTGTGCTGGCTTGGGGCCAGTGAGCCACAGGCCTTGTATTGTCCCAAAGAGGACATTACTGAAATGCTGGCAAAGTCACAATGGCAAAGTCAGGAGGTCTGCAGCTTCACAAATCAGTGACACAACAGAACGGGACCTTTGCCTGCATAAATTCCAAATATTCCACTAGAACAGTGACAAATCAGGGCTTTGTATAAACCTTCTGCACACAGAAAGCACTGATGGGACCATTCCCAGTCTCCAGCTCAAACAAAGACCAGGGAGTTAAAAAATGCCCTTGTACCTCTCTCTTGAGCGCGGTGTTGGAGTCGATCAGGGTCTGGAAAGCTGCCCCAAAGCCATCTTGCTGCTGGTGGGTGTGGAAAAGATGGAAACTGAGACTGTTAGAAGTTGAGCATGCCCTGATGCATGAAAACACTTCTCAATCTAAGGCTGCAGCTCAAGCACTGCTCTGCTGACAGAGCATCTCCAGCTGGGCCTGGGTGTGTGTCTCAATGGTCCCAGCAGCACCTCGGCTCTGCAGGACGTGAGAGCATCATTACAAACACACAGAGAATGGCAACTTACAAATGAGGCTGGAACTCCTGGTGGTCCCTGGAAATCAGAGGGAAAAAGAGGCATCAGCCAGGGAGCTGGTCAGTCACTGGGGCACAGATATTCAGGCATGGCCTGTGAAATCCCCGCTCCCGTGGAGCCCCTCAGTGCAGAGAAGTGAGAGAGGCAACAATGCTGTCTCTGTAAAACTCTTGGGGATGGTTTGGGCCAAAGCACAAGAAACACTGGTCCATTCACACACGTGGTTTTGCATATGAGGAATGGGGCTAAGCCATAATTTCCAGTGAGGGAACAGTCCCTCTGGAGAGTGTCGTGGCAATCATTTCAGCTTGTTGCAATCATGAACTCGTCCCACAGATACGTACCGGAGGGCCAGGGTGTCCTCGTGGGCCTGGAGGACCCTAAAGACAGAGTGGCATCAGTTAGTGAAATAGCTCCAGGTTTTATTTCCATTTCTCATGGTTTTTACCAGCAGGAATCTGTTCCCAGCTGGAGTTTTGGCATCTCACAGCAGCCTGTCCCTCAGAACTTTCAAAAGACAGGGGGTGGCCCCATTTTGTCCCTGCTCTGGGTACATCTGCCTACACCTGGTCTATCCCTGCTGCATCCCTTGTTTCCAGCCCTTTCAGCTCCTCACTTGTCACTAATGCCATGTTCCCAGGCACTCATCCCATTCCAGGTGTGCAATTACCCACCCTGCAGCTTTACACGTGCTAAAAACAACTGTTTTATTTAAATACAAGATATCAGTCAGAAAAAGGGATGTCAGGTACTTACCCTCGGACCTTGAAGACCCTGCAGGGAAAAAAAAAAGTGCAGAAGCTGTCAGAAAATGCTCATTACTGACCCCAAATCTCCCTGTACACCCATGTGCTGTTCCCCAGGGCAGGGCTGGGTGCTGCCTGCAGGTACCACAGCTGTGGACAACGTGGTGGAGTGCTGCTGGGTTCAGGAAATGGAAATTTTGCCAGCAGTGGTGTGGATGTGTGTACACATCTGTAAGCAGTGTCTTGCCCTCGTGGGAGCCCGGTGCACCCTGAGGTCACAGCAGAGCCCAGAGTGACTCTGATTGTTCAGGGTCACTCTTGGGGCCCCCAGGGTGGGAGCAGCACTTACCATCTCCCCACGGCTGCCTTTGTCTCCCTTGGGGCCCTGCAAGGCACAGGAGGTGGCTGTCACTGACCAAGCACAAGCTGCCCTGCTGGCTCCTGCCCCCAGGAGCTCCTTGCAAGGACTCATCTCTAACTCACCAGCTCAGGTTGTCATATTGGCCTCCCCATCCCAGAGCAAAAAAATGCCATTGTTGGCTGTTTTGGCAATGTCTGAGTTCATTTTACTGGTTTTTATCTCTGCAGCCTCTGGACCAAGCTCTGATTGGTGCCAGGCTTGTGCTTTCACAAAGCACTGACCTGATCTTTCATCTGTGCTCAGGGCCTTTGGCATTTTAGGGCAGGCAGGGATTTTCAACACTTCCCAAAATCAAGTGGTTCCCAGTTTAATGCATTTTAAAAAAAGTTTATTTAAATGTGTATCTCCCTGCCCCAGGCCAAGTTCTTTGGAAAATCTGGCTTTCAAAAATCTGCAATAACATTCTTGTCTTCCAGTCTGTTGAAAACCTTGCACTTCTGTATTGCTGCTCCCCACTTCTCAGCTAATAATCTCCCAGAAATTGTCTGTGCAGCCAGAGACTGAGCCTTTCTGAAGCTGCTGATCTTAAAACCCATTTTGTTTTCCTGCTTACACCAGGATTTGGGGGTTACTTGTGCTGGCCTCAAACATTTTGGATGTCATGCACTTAAACTCTTCTGGAAAAACACAGGCAGGAAAGAAGTGTGGGTACTTACAGGGCTTCCAGTGGGACCCTGAATGCCCAGAGGACCAATAATTCCTTCTTTTCCCTAGGAAAGAAAAGACTTGTGAGCCACCACGTGGAACCTGACAGTCATTTTCACCAGGGCAGACTCAGTGAAGACTCTGAATCTTTACTGCTTTTTTTTTTCTTGGTGGTGGTATTTGCTGTATCTGGAATAAAAAAACATTTCCAAAGAGACAAGTCCTCGCAGTGTGGTTGTCATGAGCCTTGTTAAACCTCAGAAACTCCACAAAAAGAAGGATTTCAGTGTGGCTGGAGTGCTCTGTGCTGCGTGGCTGTCTCCAAGCCCCGTGCAGGTGTGGTCACCTACAGCTGTGGGGCTCAGAGGTGGAGCCATGGCCTCGAGCACCGGGCTCCTCACAGCCCCTGGAGCCTCACAGAGACAGGAGGGAAGGGAGAAAATCCTCCCAAACCCACAAACTGGAAACCACTCACCATGAGACCTGGCGGCCCTCGTGGTCCCTGGATGCCTTTGAACCCAAGGTCTCCTGGGGGGCCCTGTGAGCAAAAAATGAGATGTGAGGTCCACTAAATAACCAAACCCTGTGTTTGTGCCCTTGCTTAGAGCTCTGCTCTAAGGACAGGGGTGCTGCCTCTTGTCTGTGGGACAGGGAAGACCCAATTTGTTGTAAATTCTTTTCTCACTCCTGTTTTGCAAGGCTTTTACTTTTGACAGAAAACAAACAATTTCCTCTTCGCCAGGGAAATTATATGGTGATAAAATGAGTCTGAATTTCAAGTCAGGGCTCTCAGAGTTAGGGATGCACATCGGTGTCTCAGGTGCTGGCTGGTGGTTGATGCTGGAAATACAAATGTCAGAAAGGGGGAAAACAGCCACAGAACCTCTAGGACAGCCCTTTTCCTCCAACAAAGCACATGTAAGCACACACTCACTTAACAAATGAAGATTCATAAATGAAAGAAAGTTGGGCTCAAACTTCAATTTCCACAGTTTCTGCAGAGCTGCTAGCAGTGCAACAAGTGTGGCATTACCTGTCCCCAGTCAAGTGAGAGCAGAAAACCAACTGGCCACCAGCAGCCTCTTACCTTTGGCCCAAACAGTCCTGCAATCCCTGGGAATCCTGCCTCACCGAAGTCTCCCTGCACGGGACAGCCAAGACAAACACAAGAACAAAGGACAACAGTAAATTCACACTCATGGCTGCAGATGTCACTCAGAGATGCACCAAGAGTCCAGCAGCTCCAGAGACAGAGAAATCTGTGAGTATCCCTCAGTCTGAGCAGGACTGATGAGAAAGAGGAATGAAAAAAAGCCTGGAGGAGGAGCTACACAAACATCAGGCTAGAAGCAACTCACCTGATCCCTTAGATCTCACCAGTGCCACCTTTTTGCCCCCAAAATGGGAGGCAAACCTACACTATTCCTAGCAGATGCTTCTCTGGCTTGGCCCAGCAGAAGCAGGATGCAGAGCATCTACTCGGAGATTGATCTTGGAATTTCATGCTGCAAAATGACAGCCTTGAAGTTCTTTAAAACAAGTTCCTCTTTTATTTATAATACAAACTGGACTGACCTACTAATTTAAACTGTGATTTTAAACCATGCTCATTCAAGCTGTTAAAAAAGTGCATGCTCCTACAACATAACCTCCCACTCAAGCCCAGGAAAACCATGCATATCCCTAATTCTTTTCCTATTCAACTCTGCGGGGATTTCCCCTCAATTTTGTAAGAATAATAATAATAAAATAGTTGAAAGACCATCGAGCTTGAATCAGCACATAGCATGTACTCTGAGAATAAAAAACCCACCCTGGGTAGCATGTCCTTATGTAAACATCCTCCTTTCACCATGTTGGAGATGGTCATCCTTTGATATTTTTGGGCTTCTCAGATGTCAAAATTCAAGATGATTCAACGTTTTAAAAAAAGAAAGGGGTCAGAAACCTTCACCAGATGATTCTTCTTCAGTGTTAGGAACATCAGAGACAGATAAGGCTTCTTTGGCCTTTTGGCAGGACTGTCTCACCCATCCTGACTGTGCTTTTTGGGGTGTAATACAATGGTTTGTTCACTTAATTGTGAATAACCCAAGTGATGGGGCTTCCACCCCCTTTATTGCACAGCTGTTGCAGCCATGAATCAGCCTAGAAACCTCACTGTTAGGAAGTTCTGCCTTGAAAAAGAGTGAGAAACTGCTTGGCAAGAAAGGGCTTGGTTGGACTTAGGGGAGTGCAAGAAACTTTCCAAGGATTCAAATTGATTTAACTGCCCATTTCTGGGTCCTGGAAAGGAAAATTGCTACAAACAGGGGACTAAGATCTTTCCTGCATTTGGGGAATCAACCAAGCCTTCTTTCTAGAGGAATTTCAGGCAAAAGCACATGGAAAGTCAGAAGGGTTTAAAAGTCATGGAGTCATCTCAGCCAGAGGGACACGGTCACTGGTCCTGCAGCAAATCAGGCAGTGACAATATGGGGCAAAGGAATGTGTCACTTGTGTCACAGAGACAAAATAATCTGTGGGGTTGATCTATGACCAATGACAAAATGATACATGGTGGTGTTGGTCACTGCCTTCCTGCTGGAAAACTGTTAGCAATAAAATAGCCATACAAGTGCATTTTAGTCGAGGTAGTTTGGGTTCATTCTGTGCCTTGTTTCGTATCAGTCCTAATCCCTCTCCCTGAATCATGCTGAAGCTGGATGTGGGCTCCCCTGTGCAGCCCCTCCCCGGGATCACCCTGCTGTCCCAGCCTGGATCCGCACCCTCTCCTGCAGGAGAAGCCTGGAGTCAGCTCTGCACAGCTCCACCACCACTAACCCGCTGTCCTTTGGCTCCTGGGTCACCAGGGCTCCCTGGAAGGCCCGTTCCTCCCGCTGATCCTCGCTTCCCTGCTTGGCCAGTCTGTCCAGGCAATCCTCTTTCACCCTGAAAAGAAGAGAATTCAGGTAATTCCAAAGGAGGGGAGCTAAAGGTAACAGCACCAGCTGCAATAGCCATAGATGGAAGGCTGGCAAAGATGGCTCGTTGGGATAAGGAATGTTGGGATCAGGGCATGCCCAGGCCTGCCAGGGCAGGTTGTTCAGGATGCCAGGGTGAGACCAAGGTGGGCATGGCTGTGTTCCCTCCTGGCTGCCCCCAGAGCAGGAGCCTCAGCAGAGCTGTCCCACCTGCATGGGGGTAGGGAGAGAAAGGGCAGAAACATCTTCTCTTTGCACTCCTATGTTCTCTGTCTGCCCTGCAGTTTCCCATAATCTCTTCCCCCAGCAGGTTGGCAATTGATGATTAATTCATGGAAAATGCTGAAGGCATGCCAAGAGCAGGACTTCAATCCAGAGGCTGCAAATCCAACATTTTCCCTGTTTTAACCCTACAACTTCAATCCAGAGAGGGCCTTCTGCCCCCAGCACCAACTTTGCTCCCCACCTCTCCTCCTTGCCAGTGCCAGGAGCAGCAGAAGCTCCAGCTACTCAGGCTGGGGCAGGCTGGGAGAGAGGAGCAAAGGCAGGGAGAGCCTAGGATGGTGGAACAGCCGGAAAAGGGGCAAAAAATCCCCCTGGAGGCAGGGTGTGAGTGCGTGACAAGGACACGGAGTCTCAGTCACCTCCTGTTGTTCTTCCCAAGGCAGCTGGAGGGCAGCAAGTGACAGATCAAGGGCTATGTGCTATGGAGCCCTAATTTAAATCAGATCCCAGAGCTTCTCCAAACCCAGCTGGAGTCTTCCTATTTACAGAATCTTCCTATTTACAGAGTCTTTCTACAAACGACTGAATTGCTGTGGGTCCAGTTTAGATCCTGTGGTGAGCCTGGATCAGGGCAAGAACCAGGAAGAAACCCCAAGGTCACAAAAGCAGCTTGTCCCTGCTTCCACCCAGAGTGATGTCCAAGCCCATACTGGCTCCAGTCGTTCTAACCAGTAAATATGCTAAAAACCAAGCAGCACAAATTTCCCTCCAGCAGCTCAGGTCTTGCAGAGCAGTAGAACACCTGAATCTCCCATGGAGTTGTGCATTCTGGACATCCTACACCTGGCTGTAGCAGCTCCTCTGCAACTTCTGCGTGTTTTTTCTAGCCAGGTTTCTCATGATAAAAGACTCAAGTGTTTGTAGTGTGAATATGTGTGTCTGCAGGCTCCTGAGCTGCTTTGGTAAGGGAGGAAGGGTCTCTGGGACATTCAGCTGCTGTGTACATCAGGAGAATGGATGAAGGGATGGATGGATGGATGGATGTGAAGAAAGATCTACAGAGCCTCTAGCTAAGTGAAAGATGGCAGCAGGAGCTGAGATTGTATTAGACCTTGGAGAGCTCAAGCTCAGAGGCATCAGGCTCACAGACTGGATCACTCACAGCAGCATCTTAGGGAGTCAGAAACTCACCTTGAATCCTGGTGGTCCCTGGGCCCCTGGGAGTCCTGGCACGCCGGGGTTCCCTCTCTTGCCTGACATCCCGGTCACGCCTTCTTCCCCATCGTCTCCCTGCTCTCCCTAGGAAAGAAACACACAAGAGGTTATGAAATAAACCCTTTCCCCTTCTGGAGGGACAGGGGAGTGGTGGGATTCTGCCCTCAGCAAGAGGGGGACAGGTTTGCAGGGGTGGACAGAGTTGTGTGCATGTGAGTGTCTGCCAGGCTACAAACCCCACTTTATTCACAGATCTGCTCATGCAAAGGCCCCTGCTGCCTCTGTGTGCAAGTGATATGTCAAGTTCTGCCCTGGGTACATGTAAACTGGAATATCCATAGCTGGATCACATAATTTGTCCTGTGCTGCCCTCCAGTTTTGCAGCTCCAAGGCTGTGTTTGCTGTCCATGCCACAAGGCTGCAGTTGAAGCTTACCAGCATCCCAGGCACGCCGTCCTTCCCAGGCACTCCGTCCACTCCAGGGGCACCCTCTTGCCCCTGCCTTCCCACCACTCCTCGAGGGCCTGGTAGCCCAAGGATGCCCTAAAACGACAAAGGTATTAGAGAAGGAGCTCCCAGACAGCATTTCCTGGGGCAGAATACTGAATTTTCACCTACCGGTGAGCCCCTGCTCCCCGCACTGCCCTGTGCTCCTTGCTTTCCTTTTTGACCCTGCAAGTAAAAAAAAGAGAGACATCTAAAACTGCAGCAGTTCTAGCACAGCTCCACTTGGGACTGTGACTTCAGGGTGTGCTTTTGGATAATTACTGGAAAGAGTTTTATAAAAGGGACATTTATAAAGTCAGTTGCTCCAGTGCTTGGGAATGAACTGCTATTTGGTTTTATTACAAGTGATTCTTCGTATGTCTTGAGAGTTCTAGGGCAGGAATAAATAGCTAGAAGGCAAGGACCTGCATTTTTCCTAACACAGAGCAGATGAGGACAAAGAAAGCAGGATGAACTCGAGGGAGGGTTTGGTACACTGGCAAACATTAGAACAAGATGCTAAAAACCTGAGTCCTCCACCAGTTCATGGACAGCAAAGCCAGGACCAAGAGAGTCCTCTGAGGGGGTTCAGGGGGGCTTCTCTCTGAGAAGTAATTCTGTTTTAGAAAGCTAATGGAAATTAAAAAGGGTGTCTTCTGTCTGAAATTTGCAATGCTGCTTTGTGAAAAAAGGCAGAAAATAAATACTCCTGAGGTTTATTAGCTGTAAAAAGGATTAATTTGTGCAGAATGAATGGAAAACTCAGCCTCATCACCTTCACTAGGGCTCTCTTAACGAGGTCATGTACTAAAGCACTTTTAAATTGAAGAACTCATTTTCTGTGCATTATTTCTCCATCTGCAGAGGACCAGGCTGGCCAGCTACACAAAAGAAGTACTCCTGGGGGTGCTTCCCCTGCTATTCATTAGACCCAAAGGCAGTTCCAGATTGTCCATCCATTGGCAGAATTTATTTGTCTTATCACCTGGTACACTTCTTGCCAAGAAGACCTAAAACTATCTTCTGGCATTACCCCCAGCAGGGTCAGATTAAAAACCCTGACATCTGCCATGGGAGAGCAGGAATTTGCTGAGTATTGAGGTCACATACTTATGTTTTAGTAAATAAAGTCCCTGGTCTGTGAGAATAATTAGCAAGCTGTCATAACAGCCCGATGTGGAGGTAGGAGTAGGTGTGAGGTGCCTCAATGAACCCTGAAGGACCCATGAGTCCTGGGTTTTCTTGCTCAATAAGGACAAGAAGTTAGAGGGATTGTTCCAAGAAACAGCTCCATGGATAAATGGACTCCAAACCCAGAAAGTTTCAAGCCAGAAAAGTTTATGGTTCAAGTGAAAGGGAGAGACTCCTGCCTGGCTCAGTCCTCCTTGGGGATGGAGGAGCAGCTGTGGCTGGAGACAGCACAAACAGGGCACGGGAAAGAGACACAACCCATGGCAGGGACCAAAGACCTGCCCAAGAGTCACCCATCGTGCTGGAGCTGCAATTGATCTTGATCTTCTCCAGCTCCACAAAGCCAACAAACCACTGGGCTTGGACACCCAAATGTTTACAGCCCTCCCACAAGGATCTCCAGGCCTTTCAAGGCATAGACCATAGGGCAAAAATCCCACATGCTGGGCAAAACCATGAGAGTCCTCTTAACCAGAGATTTTCTTTAAACTTGGGACACTGTAAATCCACCCTGCTGAAACCTACCACATCACCTTTGGATCCCTTTGCTCCTGGCTTGCCTGGTGATCCAGGATCTCCCTACAAAACATAAACAAGAAAAATCTGCTTAAAATTCTCTTCTGGCAGTATCTTGCACGAAGTACAAAGAACAGCATTTTTTGTGCCCTAAGAACGCTGACTGTATGGAACCAATTCAGGGAAACTGCCTGCACTCAGACAGGCCCCTGGGGAAAAAGGAGCACGGAGCTGTCTCCAGAGAGCATTTAACAGGGTGTCAGCTGGAGAAGAAGCAACTCTGCCCCTCGCTTGGGTGGTGCCTGCATTTGTGGAAATCATTCACCACATTCCAGATGGTGCCTGGAGAGCAGTGCTGGGAGGTGGGCAGGAAGGAGCCTGTGTGCAGAAACTGCACAACGAGCAAGTTACACCGTGACTGCTGGTGCCACCTCCCTCCTGAGCACTGCAGCCCTTGCCTTGGTTTCACCTGGGGGTCAGGTGTTGGAAAACTGCCTGTGGAGTAAAGCAGAGAGGGTATTTCGCTGCTCTCTTCCCCATCACACCCATCTCAGTCTTTTCTCCTGGCCAGCCAGGTTGGGTTTTTTGGTATTTGTGTGGCAATTTCTGGGCTAACATCAAATAAATGGTAAGGAAGGACTCCCTGCAGAGCTCTCCTTTTTCAGCTTGTTTTTGAGCCATGTTTCTAATGGACCTTTATTAAAGACAATCCAAAGTTCCTGCTTCCATCTGAATCATTTGAGGGTCTACCAACCCCCAAATAAACTGCATTCACTGGGGAATGCAGCAGCTCTACTCATTTCTGGGCCATATAACAGAGCACTACCATTTAAAACCCAAAATAGAATCTGTTGTTCTTTCCAGCATCCTTACAAAGAGTGGGAATTGATTCAACTTTATTTCCCAATACAAACTACATTTAATGTGCTGCTGCACTCACAGTTGCAATAGTCACATATAAAGATCAGATGCTACTGTATATAACAAGGGAATAAAAAGTCCTTCCCTTGAGTTTGGATTTAATTTAGTCTTTCACAAAATCCTTCAGTAGTTTGAGAGGAAACAACTTGCAAGTGGAATAACATGGTTTCACCTCACACTGGACCAGCAGCACATCAAATGGATCATTTTCAAGAAGACCCTTCCACTGTCACTGTCATCTCCCATTGTCATCTCATCCCTCATGGACCATTCAGTAAGGATGGTTTTGGAAACAGGCACGGGGAGTGCTCCTTGTTTTGTCACCCATTTATTAGTCTCAAGTGTGGCTCAAAATGCCCATTCCATAGGCCTGGCTGATGGAAATGGCCACATTTCACAGCTCACCACACACTCCTACTGCAGCCCTTCCCACCTCCCTGTTTTTCCTGTGCCTGGGGCATTGGGTACCTCACAGTAAAGCAGCATCTCTTACCGGTAAGCCTTGCTGCCCAGGTTTTCCTCTTTCTCCATCAAGCCCTTCCTGACCCTTAAATAAAAAACAGAGAGGGAACATGCCTTTGTTCTTCTGTGGCAATGAGAAAGAAAAATAAATGTAGCATGATTTAAGGAGCAGAAGAACACACATGTGTCTGCATACTGCTGATACAGAAATGGTGAAGTTGTGGGGAGCGCCCAAATCCTGTGGATATGCTTTGGAAAGAGGAACTGCTCATCACCAGCTAAGCAGCAAAGAAGGTGTTCTAATGCATCCCAAAATACACACAGCACTAATGGAAGTGAACAGTTGGAGACAGCTGTCCTAGAAAATAAGGCAGCAGCACTGCTACTCTGATGAATTCAAAACCTTCTGTAAATTACTAAAATGAGTCACTCTGACCAGGTGATTTTGAATGGAGGTAACAATTCATGGAGCCTTGCAGATCAGCCCCAATCAGCTGAACATGTCCTGCAAAGAGGGAATAAGGAGCACAGCAGGATATCTCATAGCCCTGGTTTTGCTTTTGAGAGAAATCTTGCAAAGATTTTGGAAGTCTCCAAATCTTAAAGTTCACAGATCTTTCCATGGAAGAATCTACAGCAATGGACCCATCAATATTGAAATTTGTCCAGCACTGACATGGACTGTCGTGCACACATCTTGTCTAGGACGTCTCCTTGACAATCACAGAGAGCTGTGCTCAAATGGTCCTGCTCACTCTTTTAGCCTCACTCAGCAGGTGCAGGGCAGGGTGAGGTGCTGGCCTTGCCTTCAGCAATGTTTTTATTGCTTTAGGTAAAGACAACTGAATTGTTCCTTGTCTGGATCACAGCGTGTGCAGCAGCTGACCAGGGACAACAGCAGGTTATGAACTGGGCCTGCAGTTCTGTGGGCTGGTGTGGGCTGGGAGCACTTCCCCACGGCAAACATTTTTGAATCATGCATTTGGAATAAGACTCACAGGATAACCAGTGTCTCCAGGCTCCCCTCGGTCACCTCTGTCACCAACGGGGCCCTACAAGAGCACAGCAAAGACTTGAGGTGGATGTAAACAAGCTGTCATCTGCAATATCTCAGTGGCTTGTGCATGTTCTACAAGTAAGGCACCAACCCAATTAATCCACCCCCAAAATCACTCCAGGATTGATTAGAGAAGGGATTTAACATCTTACTCTGTCTCCAGGTGGTCCCTGTGGGCCTTCCACCTTCCCGTCATCACCTTGTTGTCCCTGTGAGTAAAATGTTAGTATTAATATAAACAGCAGATTTTAGAGCAGATGTGTCTGCACAGACCCAATCCAGCCCTTCCATATCATGGGATGTCAAAGCCTCTGTTGAATTTACTCCTTTTTCCTCCGAAGAAAGACTAAACAATTTTTTTTTGTTGTTTGTTTCACTGACTCTTCACATTGCTTTCCTGATTTCTGGTGGCTGTTTTTCTCTGGTCTAACTTGCCTCCTTAAGTAACCAGGTGCAAAGGGTTATTTTCAACGGCTCCTAAAACGGAGCAAGCAGGATGTAATTACGCCAATATGGGAAATAGCTCTCTGCCTCTGCATTTTATTGCTGACAGTTCAACCAAACTCTTTAATCAAGCATTTCCCCGCCCTCGTTGAGTGCTGTCTGGGCTGTCGTGGGAGCAGGGGTGGTCTGGATGGGCTCCTTGGTTGTGTGCCACCATTGTGGGCTTGTTTTACAATCAGCCAGGTGAGACAGCCTCTTACACAGCCCTCTGCTCGCTGGGATGCTCTGCAGCACGAGCTCAGAGCTCATGGTTTGGCTGGTAGATAACATCACCCGGCTTATTTATGACTGAGGTCTCTCCAAAACATCCACACAGAGATCTCTTAAGACTTAACAGAGCCACTATCCTTTTAAATTCTGTTGTGAAAGTCACTCAGGGTCATGATGTCCTGTTTTCTCTGGAGCCCAGCTCAGAGATGGCTGTTTCTCAGCTCCCCATGGAAGAATGCAACATTCCAGCTCCTCCAGTTTTTGACTGCTCCACAGCAGTCTCTGGCACTTTGGCTCCTTAGGATGAACGTGTCTCAGAGCTCTTTGGTGCAGTGTGGGGGGTTCTGGCACAGTGGAGCTGCTGTACTGGAGGTGCTCGGGTGCTCCAAGAACATCCAAATCGCCACAGATTGCAGAGCCAAGTTTTTCACAGACTTGTGTAATTCTCAGTGGTTGCACCAGCCCTTTCTGGTGTATTTACAATTCTCTTTGACCTTCTCTCTGGGCTGCTCTCCTGTTGGGGTTGCAGCTGCTGATAGTAAGGACACTTGGGAAATTTCTTGGTGAGCCTGCCTGCCTCTGAGAGAAACTTGGGTGGCAGAGAGGAGAGGAGGGGAAGCAAACCCTCACAGCCTCTGCCAACAGTTTCCAGTGCTACTGAACTTGCTGCTGGAAGCCTGCAGCAAAATACCTGGCAACTGGTTTGCTTTCTAGCCACTATCTAAGGAATGTTGCCTAGAAGGGAAACAAAGCCACCATTTCTCAACTCTCAGGGAAAAAAATCATCCCAGTGTGTCTGTTACTATGCAGAAGTCTTGGCACTGATTGCTTCTTCCCAAGCAGGGTGTGCACACCTTTGCCATTTGGGACCTGAGATGAGTGTGATGAACTCAGAGAAAGCTCCTAATTCTGGGGACCCTTGAAGAGCATCAAGATTTTCTCCCCACTGTGGGCTTTGCTTCTCCTTGAGGCTAATCCCCACCTTGTTCTCCCTCCTGCCTGAGAAAATCCTGCAGCCTGGTCAGCTCTACGACTGTGAAACCGAGCTCCTCCAGAGCTTCCTGGTGCCTCAGCTGCTTGAGAGAGAGATGAAAGTTCTGTGCTAATTCTTCAGAAAGTTGCAGTGAAAAAAGTTAGAGTAAAGGGCAGCAAAGTAAACATGTTAGGATACAAATGGAAAATGCATGGAGAAGAAGGGAAGGCTTGTTGTTGTTGGCTCCTGTCCCAAAGTGAGATACACCAGTTTGTAATTTTTAAAAGGATCCCATCTGGACTGCTTTAAGCAGCTGCCAAGAGCAGGCGTCTGCTCTGAGCAAGGCCTCTTTGAGGAGCTGCAAATGTATGAAATGTGGTGGAGTGGCTGGCTGGGATGGCACAAGGGAGCAGGATTCCACAGCAGTGCCTCTCACCAAACTGCTTTCTTTGAAAAAGGGGAGACCTTCCCCACCATTACATCCTCCTCCTTCAGCACGGCTCCATTCACCATGTCACTTAAAGCTCACAGGGTACTCACGGTCCCATTTCCATTTTCTCTTTATTTCTCACTTTCAGGCTTCAGTTTTTGTGTTCACACTCTTGTGAGAGGTTACAGATGTCTGGAGGGAAGGAATTTGTCTGTCTTTAGGCTGGGATCCAGGCAACTCTTAGGAGATGAGGGAGGGTGGATAGGAAAACTTAGATGTAAGATTTTGTGGAGCACCTGGATGCTGCAGGAAGGGGTGCTGGAGGCTCAGTGCTTGATTTTGTGCTCTCCTGGTTCAGCATCTTCTCCTTCTGCTCCCCAGCAGACCCACTGGCCTTCCGGGAGAACATGAGTGAGGAGATTCGGCTGTCAGTGGTCATTAACAGAGCTGACTGCTCTTAGTAGGGTGCATTGATGCTTTGGTGGCTTCATCAGGCTTCAGCTTGGATACTTGCATGTAGAATTCATTTATCATAACGCTGCTGTGCTCTTTTGACACCAGATCCACTCAGGGAGTGCTTTTCTAGTGTCCTTTTGCAGAGTAACATCTTGTTGATGAAGGGCAAAGTGCTCCACTGAGCACTTCAGATGAATAATTTGGGGATCATTTGCTACTGAAATTACAGGAGTTTTCAAGATGGCAACTTTAAATGTTTTCAAATAAAACTACAGCTGCAATTAAAGCAATAGACATAGAGATGTGCACATCTCAGTGGCTACAGGGCCAATGGCTGACCTTGCTTTTGCTAGTCATGACTCACAACTTTTTGCCAGGATGCTCAAGATTTGACAGTGGAATTGTAAGGAACCTCTGGGGCAGTTCTGAGCTGACAACGTGCCTGGTCATGAGCTCTCACATCATCCTGGGCTGGTTGTGCTTGTCTGACACTTGCCAGGACGTTCAACAAGGCAGCAATGGAGATAGGGAGCAGCAGGAACATCAGCAGCTGTTCCTCCATGGATGTGTTTCAGCAGCAGGAAATGGGAGAAAAAGCACAATGGCCATTGTTCACCCCCAAAGGAAAATTTCTGAGGCATGTGAATGTCTTAGTGGAACACAGCAGCTTGCCCTGCCCCAGTGACTCCTGGTGCACGGGGAATCTCCAGGCAGAGCATGGTGTGAACAGGGTATCCTGGCACCGGGAGCCTGAAGGGATCCATTCAAAGCCCCAGCAAGGGCAAGTCCTTATAAACTCATTTTATAAGCAATGAAGTTCCTGCCTGCACTACAGCTGCCCTCCCACCTGTGTGCAGAGGCAAAGCTGAATGCTTTCTTGGTGATGGGGAGCAGAAAACGAGCAGAGAGAGTTCATGCATCTCTCCTGTTCATGGGGACTTCAGGACTGACCAGTCCCCATCACCATCACTTCCCTTCCCACACCAAGGGAGAATCACAGAATGGTTTGGGTTGGAAGGGATCTTAAAACCCATCTCGTTCCACTCCTTGCCATGGGCAGGGACACCTTCCACCAGACCAGGGTGCTCCAAGCCCCATCCAGCCTGTCCTTGGACATTTCCAGGGACAGGGCAGCCCAGACCTGTGCCAGTGCTTTACCACCCTCTGAGCGGAGAACTTCCTGACACCTAACCAAAATCTTGACACTTTTGTTTTAAAAGCATTCCCCCCTGTTTATTGTAGGAAGTTGCTCCCCTCTTTTAGACAGCCCCCTTTAAGTCCTGGAAGGTCACAAGGAGCTCTGCCCAGAGCCTTCAGCAGAGGGATGTCAGGAGGGAGGGAGCATGGCTGCAGAAGGCATGTGAAGGACACCATCAGCCCTGGGAGAGCCAAGCAGCCCTGGAGCCGACAGGAAACCACTAAAGTGTGAGTCACTGCTCCAGCCTGAGCTGGTTATGGCTCTGCTGACTCAGCAAAAGGGGGAAAACTCCAGGGGAAAGCCACGGTGGAAAGAGGGCTCTGAGTCAGGGCAGCTGCAGCCAGGGGGCTGTCGAAAGGTGGGGCACAAGGAACATGGAGCAAGGGCCATGGAGAGGAGAATGCCAGCAGCTGAAGATCTGCTCTTTGTGCAGGGAGTTACTGTGACCTGATCACAGAAAGCCACGAGTCTGATGCCTTTTGGCTTGGGGATTGAGCTGAGTTCCTGTGGATGCAGGAAAAGCACATCCTCAGGGCTCATGCTGGCTGGCTCAGCCTCTGGCACAGGGCACGTGGTGTCTGGGGAGCACGTGCTGGTGGCACGGCTGTCCTGGCACTGACTGGCAGAGGCAAGGCTGTAGCTTTGAGGGGTTGTGTGAGTGGCTGTGTGGTTGAGGAGGCACCTCTGCCTCAGCCACAGGGTGAGGAGAGTGCAGATGCACGGGAGTTACAGCAGTGGGGCAATTATCTCGTTCAAGGGGAAAAGAGATGGCCAAACCCCCTGAGCTTACCTTTTCCCCCTTTGGCCCTGGTGGTCCAATCGGCCCTGGTGGTCCTGCATGTCCCTGTGGAGAGCAGACAGCATGTGAGGAGGCAGGAAAGAGCTGTGGGACTGAAAGAGCTCCCTGGTTCCCTGCCAGATCTCACGAGCCCTGGGTGGTGCATGCCAGCTTTGGAGGGACACGTGTGTCACACAGGCAGAGTTGAACCAAATGCAGGAGGTGCACATGGAGACTTGACAGAGAACTAAACTCGAGGTCAGAAATAAATCACGGTTTAAGAACAATGTGCATCCTGGAGTGGCAGTTTTGTTGTGTTTAAGAACAGATAAAAGCTGGGAGGTGAAAATGAAACCCTTACCTGGTAACCCTTTAAGCCTGGGTCCCCTTGAGCGCCCATCCTTCCTGGAGCTCCCTGGAGAGGCAAAGACAGAGGGACTGAGAGAGCAGCCCATGGTGTTAGCATGAGAGGAGGAGGCTCTGGGCTGTGCAAAGCAAAGCTCTGCACACGTGGGAGTGTGGCCAGTCCTTCTCCTGGCCACCACTGAGCTTTGCTGCAGCCACCTGGTGGCTTTTCCTTGGCTTTAACCTCTTACACATGGAGAGGGGTGTGCCAGGAGGCCATTCCATGCCTTTGCCTGCCTGCAGCAATGGATTCCCCACCTCACTCAGATTGGCTATCAGAAATGGCTGCATTTCTGTGCTGTTCCTCTGCCCCCCTGAACATCTCTATATCCAAATTAGTGTTGTGCTAGGAAGTCCAGCAGACTTCCACAGACCAGAATCACACCCTTAGCACAGTGGGTTTAAATCAGATCATCAGATTAAAGTGAGTCACAAAATTTCCATATAATCCCATTTAGCATGGAACAAAGCCCTTTCCACAAGACAAAGACATGTCCTCTCCAATAGACTGTTACTCAGATATTGCTTTGCTTCCTTGTGAAATAATCCATGGAGGCTTTGCCAAAGACTGTTAAGGGAGGATGTGTGGTGAGGCCACAATTTTTAGTGCAGGAAAACACTATCAGCAAAACCACCACTCCATCACTCATTTGCTACTGTTCTGAAGTATCACCACTATTCCTAGTTCATAAATAATTCCTGATTTTGCACTAAGTTCTATCAAATAGAGTGCAAGAAGTTTCCTAACCAGCCTGCAATGCATGAGAGGCACTTTACATACCACTGCTGTCCTGATGCATTTATCTCTTGTGCCTAAAGCAAATTAAATATCTCCCTTCTCTGCCATACTATGGCTGTTCTCTCTGGAAGCCTCACCTTCAGTACCCAGTTCAGACCCTTTCCCATGCTATATTTCTTCTTGCTCCAAGTGTTTTAGATAAGTAGATCAAGAGTGGGTGTAGAAACAGGGCAGAAATCCAAGGCAGAGTTCCTTATAACAACACAGCTTGACTTGGAAGCAGCTCTTGCCATGAGTGTGCAGTCTCAAAGGGGAAGATCTTAGCAAAAAATAGCTTATCAGCTCACTCAGCTGAGGAAAAATCCCCAATATTTCAGCAATTTCAGCCTATCTGGGGAGTTGTGAAGAGCTGCCTCGATGCAACGTGAGCTGGGCTCACGGGGCACCAACCCAACCACCCCTATGGACTCTGTCCTGTGCTGCTTGGGACAAGGGTTAAGACGTTTTTGGCCAATTAAAGCCATCTAACAGCATTTTTCAGTGCCCTGAAGCCTGTGCTGGGCTCTCTGCTCCAGTCAGGCCCGTGCCACCACTGCCAGTCAGGTTCTCTGAGTTGTGTTCAGCCGTTTGCAGAGCTCTTCTCACCATCGGTCCCAGGGTACCTCGGGATCCTTTAGGGCCTTGGTTCCCCTTCGGCCCCTGCTTCCCTGGGGATCCCATCTCGCCGAGCTGCCCCTGGTAGCCTTTGCTGCCCTGCAGAGCAAAGGCACTGACATCAGTGTGGGACAAAACTCCTTCTGCAGGAAAACATCAGAGATGGGAGGGAGAGCCACAGGCTGTGATGTTATCAAAGAGAGGTGTTCCTACCTTCTGGCCAGGCTTGCCCTTTTCCCCCTGTTTTCCTGGTTTCCCTTCTGGGCCCTGGAAGGGGAACAAAAAAAAGGCTGTTGGAATGGGAAAGCAAAGAAGTCACACCCCAACCAGACACTCCCAGGCCATTTCCCTAGCACACACAAACCTGAGAGGAACCTCACCCACACATGGGGGCCAACAAGGAGGCCAGCAAGTTGTGCAGGTCACATCACAATCCACAGGTGCTACAGCTGGGCTATGGCTGAGTTTGGTCTTTAGCTGCTCCAACACATGGAGGAAAACTCATAGCTTAAAGGTGGAAAGATCTTGGTGCTGGGGGGGCTATTGGGCAACACAGCTGAAAGGTGATAACTGTGATAATTTTGATGATGATGACTTTGAAATGACATCTTGAAGATAGGTGGGTCATGGAAAACTGTGTCCATCTGTCTCCAAGGGTGCAAAAGAAGGACCTCCAGAAGTGCACCTACCCAGCCTTTGCTACAGAATGGGCTGAAATGTGGAAAACACATTTACCCTGGTTCTCACAAAAGGTTTCCTCTGGTTTGCCCCTGAGCTGCCATCTCTGCACCACTACTCTACCAACAGCTGTATCCTTCATCAACTTTGGCACTAAATCAGATATCAACACTTATTACATAGTTTTAGGACCTTACCAATAGAACCATTCATTCCACAGCACTTCTCCTTATTTTTTACCTTGTGAAAAAAGGCAATGGTTCAATTCTCTGTGTACCTACCATACACAACTTCCTGCTCACAGTGCAAACCCCCTCCCTCTATTTGTATTATTACTGCCACATGCAGAAACCACAATCTACTGATCAGGCTTCTAGAAATGCAGTGGGATGCAAAACTTGAGGTGGGAGCCATGGCAAGCAGAGACAGGAATGCTGAATGCTTTCAGAGCCCAGTGTGGGTGCAGAACCTGCTGCCCCTCCTCGCACCCACACCACAGACATGTGATCAGCTAAATACAGCAGCCTCTCCTTAGGGACCTCAGGGAGCTCATTTTTTCCAGTGTTTGACCCTGTTGGCTGCAAGGGGGACAGAACATTTTGAATTTGACAGAAAGAAGGAAAAAGTATAACTGAAGAAAGTAACTCATGCTTTTTGGCAATCGTGACAAACTTTTCAACAGCATCTCCACACCAGCACCACATCTCTCCCTCTGCTCCCCCTCCTCCCAGCTAAGAAGGTATAATTTTCATCATGGTTGGTGTTGCAGTCTCAGCTGAATAAAAGAAACTTATAAAGTGAGACATATCGGGGGGTTTTCACTCTGATCTGAAACACGGGCCTCAGAAGTGCCTGCTCTGAACACAAAGGAGCAATTCAGACTCATTCCAACACTAAAGGATTGTGCCAGTTCATTCCCCAGAGGGAATAGCTCCATTTTACCTAAGTCAAACATTTCAGGAGTCCACCTTGCCAACACCATTAGGCTTCACAAAGCACAGGTCCCTGCAGAGGAGCACATGAGCCTTGTTCTGTGTCTCTTCCATACTGCTCAGGGTTTTTTTTTGTGTGCTATTTTTTGCTGCCACTTTCCAAGAGATCACTTTTGGAGCTGCTTTCCCACAGATGCTGAGCAGCCGCAGCAGATGATGGGTGCCAAGCCTCCAGCATCACCCACATGATTTACACTTTTGACAGGAGTGCAGAGAAGTCTTCACTAATGAAAGCATCAGAAATGGCCAGACCCTTCCAGCTCCACAGCAGCTCCTGTGGGACCTGGTACTCAGCACCTGAAGCACAGTAAATCCACAGCCCCTGGCACACTATGGCTTAAAAATTTGGAGAGGGAATAGTGGAATCAGTCATAAAGCTTTACTGTCAAAACAAGATGTGACTGAATAACGAGACACCTGGGGTTTTTAATCAGTTGCACAGTGTTTTTCCATCAGTCTCCCTGGACTGTTCTCTAAGAGCTTGTGGAAGCACAAGCACTAGATGGCTTCCTGCAGAGGTGAGAAAGCCCATTTTAAGCTAGATCTGTTTCTAACCCAGTGATGGTCTTCTCCAGCAGAGTAGTTTTGCACTCTCAGATGTGCTCCTGCAACTGTGGTGATGTGGCAGCTCATGAAACAAAGATTTCCATGCAAAGGTTCCATCCCCAGGCTGAGAAAGTGTTATATTGTCTGTAAAAAATGCAGATACCAGTACATTGGTGAGACACACCCTTTATCATTGGGCAGAGCAGGTGAACCCTGTTCATGGGGAGGTCACAAGGATCTCATAGCTACTTCAGAAGAGTCTGAAGTACAGCCTGGCTCCCTCCACCAGGATACATCTCCCATGGAAGTTTCATGAGTGAAACTTCTACCCTTCATTGGAAAATGTCGTTGTTTTTCGAGAAGACAAGTTTAGGCTTTAAATTTTCCCATCTGAGAAACAAAATTTCCACACTGCTCCTAAAGTCTGCCAGCATTCAAGTTCCTGCTTGCATTCACCATCACGGAGTACAAATAGAGTCATCTGAGAGAGGGTAAACAACAAAAACCAAACCAAACTTTGACAGTCCAAGTCCTGCTCACAAAATTAAGCTCAATCCACAGTGAGACTGTTCCATGGACAAACAGCTTCTCAGACTTTCTCAGGGTTCCTTGAGCTTGTTTTTTCCCTCGGTGGTGGGTGTGAACAGAGATATGGGCTCCAATAAACTCCTTGTACCATCTTCCCCTTATGACACATCAGCTCAGGGAGCAGGGATGTTCATCTGCTCCAGAAGGTTCTCCTGGGTCCTCCAGCTGGGGTGTAGCTCTCTCTCCTTTGCTGAATAAAAAAAAACATTGGCAGCATCACCAGCTCCTGTCAGTGACATGGAGATCTTGTTCCAAGCCTCCCTTGCTGTTCTTGACTCTCATCCACTGGTTAAAAGCTTGGCTGGTATAAAAAAATGGGTCAAACCACGCTGGCGACGCCACGGGCAGAGACGTGGCTCCGATTTTGACTCACTGAGTCACCTCCTCGAGAGGAATAAGCTCTATCAGGCAGGGATATTTCTGTGCTCTCCCAGCACGCTTTCTAGGACTTTGGCCAGCAAGCTCTGCTGGTGAGTGGGAAGCCTACCATGTGTCTGATTTTCCTGGATATGCTTTCTCCAACTGCACAGGAATTCCGCCCAGATGAATTGAGAGGCAGTTCAGCACTTGTCTGGGGTTCCCAGATATGTGATATCTCTACTTGTGATGATCCAGATGTGGTTGCTGTTGCAATCCCAGATGTTCCCAGGGCACATATGCAGGGGTTTGCACAGTTCCCAGAAATCACTGCACTGCTCCACTCCACATATTGCACAGGGAAGGAAAACCCCAGCAACAGCTCTGGTAGCCTTCAAAAATACTCCCATCCTTTTTCTCTCCATGAGAAAAATTCTGACTCATCTGTCCAGGGATGAAAAAAATCAAGGCCAGAACAGGAAGAAAAAAAGAAAGGATAAAAATAAAATTCAATGAGATGGTATCTTCATCCAAGCTCTCCCCAAAGTACATTGGGAATGTAGCAACTTTTGGTACCTCTTTTACTGCAGTGTGAAGTTCATCAGGTTCCTAAGATTTCTTCTCTCTTTTGCAGAGATAGGAGTGAGGGCTGAAGATGTACAAAAGCCTGCACATCATAATAATTAAATCCAAGTTCCCTTTGCTGGACTCACATCAGTTGGGTCACTGTGCCACGGCACTGAACACTCGGTGCTTTTGTTCCCAGGGTTTGTACACATTTTGTTGTATGCCTTGGGTTACTGGTTTGCTGAGAAAATCTATCTTCTTTCCAAGCTTCTTCCATCAATGGAACTATTTTTAAATGGTGATTTCTCTTTATGTGCTGCAGTCTTCACTAGGGAAGCACATCAGTACCTCCAGATGATGATGGTATTTGTGACCAGGGACAGTGGAAAGCAGCAGTTTTATTAAGTCACATGCCTTCAGCTATGCCAAAATATCCAAGGAAAGCAAAAAAAATTATAGTCTTAGGTCTAGCATGTTTAAAATTTCATTGTCATCTTCAGTAAGGATACAGATTTACAAGGATTTTTTTTAGTATAGCCTTAGATATTCCCCTAAGGGAAAGAAGAATGGTTTATTTTCCAATGCAAATTGGTTAATTTTTAAAGAAAAAGAAAAAGAGACTTCCAGCTGCTGATGGCCTTGACAGAAAAGTCAGATCTATTGCCCAGCACAACAGCAACATTTAGTGGGAGCAAATAGATGAGCAGCTCAGCTTTAAATTCTCCAGACATCAACAGTTGAAATCTATGTTCCGACAACAGCATCCAGAAAAACAAAACAAGGAAGTTGAATGAACTGCAGAGAGATATGGCCTGAACAGAGCCAAACAACAAACAGGGCTAAAATCCTGACCCAAACTTCCCCACAGCCAGTGATGCTCTTGCTGCAGGCAATGGGTCGGGAAGTGTGACAGAGATGTGACTCACCATCCTGCTGTGGCTCGTGGCATTCCAGAGGGCAAATATGTTCCTGCCTTCCTTGCAGCACAGCACAGCACAGGAAGGAAGCTCTCAGGGCACAGAACTGCTGGGAGAGCTTCTCAAAGCTTGCCTCAGGTTGCTTCAGGATTGTTCAGGACTGATGTGGAGCAGGAGCATTTTTAAACTTTTTTTTTTTTTTTTGGTGTGTCATAGAGTGAAGATCTGTGGTCACTCCTCCCTCCCAAAAATAAGGCAGAAACAGAACCACCAAAATACAGCTACTGAGCAAAGGAAAAAAGTGACATGGTGACAGGGAAAAAAGGAAAAGGTACTTTGAGGCACCAGATATAAAAAGGGCAGGAAAACTAAAAGCAGCAATAAAGGTAGGAAGCATGAACCATAGGATGACCATGCCCATATTATCCAGGCCCAGCCAGTGAGCTCATTTAAAGGGAAATGAAAAAGCCCCATATAATTTCCTACTGCTCAGCAATGTCTCCATATGAGAACCTCTACTTAATAAACTTTGATCGAGAGAAGCCTCCCCCCATGCAGGACAGTTCACAAGCACTCAGGAAATTAGTGGGATTATTTAGGCCGGGCATTTGAAGACATAAAT